TTCTGCCAAAGCCTGGATTATGTTCAGTGACAGCATCTTTACATTTCCTGCTCTCTGTAATATCTGAACAGCATTGGAGGAAAACATCACTGGCTGCTTGAATAAAGCAGATTAATAAAACTCTCTAACCTTGAGATCAACAGTGCTCCTCCAACAAATCCCATTCCTATTAACACTGTCTTTGTGTGAATGACTGAGCAACAAGTGCTGTCAGTTTCCAAGGTTGTGTCCGTCTTTTCTCAGATGGTCACACAGGTTTATGTTATTTATTTGTTTCAGATTTGTATCTGAGAAATCACCTATTGTCTGTCATCCTGGCTCTCAATACTACAATACCCATAAGCCTCGGTCAGCGCTGCCATGGAGAATAAACCGGTCAGAGGCGCGAATGAGAAAGGAGGCAAAATCAAAACATGTTGTCCGTTCACATGAGAACAAAGGACGGATTCAAGCTGATTGTTCTCAACGCTGTGATTTTTAGATTCAGCGGCGCACATCACTGAGCTCCGTGATTGGATGTTTCTCACCAAAATGCATGATGGGAGTTCTACCCCATAGCTCCTATCTTTGACTTCTTATGAAAGAACCAGGTGTTGTCCATCCTTTCTACCGATACTGATGCTGAGAGAATTTCCTGCTGATCGAAGCCGTAGAAGAGCGACAGCTGTGAGTCATGTGACATTGTCATTTGGTAAAAATCAATGGGTGCAGAACACTGTAATGCTACTAGCCAACAGTTAGGGGGCAGCAGAGTTCGAATAAGGGAAACTACAGGTTATAGGTTGCTGTAATCATTCCTCCTGGTTGTGAAAAGATGAGGCTCCAAAACGCAGTATGTCGGTTATAATATAAATATACCTTTTTATTTTGAATTTCAGTTCTTTTTAATAACACATAATTGTAATATTGAATTTTATGTTAAATAATATGATATGTTTAAAAAATAAAATAAATGAAAAATATTGAATATGGTGGGAAATATTGTGGTATTTGATATTACTGAATAAACAGCCTAGATGTGATGTCTTCACGAAACAATGCCAATGTCAGACAGAAGTCAGTTGATTCTGTTATTAATGTACTCTCACCCTCAGCTGGTGAAGCTCGTATGTCTTCATCAGTCTGAGTCAAGTCAACTGTGTATCCTCCAATCTTTGTCTTTTTTGTACAAAATGAACAGAATGTTCCTGCAGCTCGGCAGTGAAACACAAAGAGGGAATTTTATACTAAAAGGACTAAAAATAACACTGGAAAAAACCCACTAGATCTGTTGAACTCAGACTAAAAACTTAATGTATTCTAAAAGTCTTCCCTGGTTTCTCAACTGCTCCTGGTTTTTTCAGATTGTTCATTTTATTTCCTTTAACTAGAAAACAGTAGAGATATGACAGGAAGTGACAGAGGAGAAACAGGGAACAGTATAAAACAACAGCACCTAGTTGTAATATTAATTCACACTTGATTAATTATTTAATTAAAAACTCAAAATTTCCTGCACAGAGGTTTCACTTTAAAAGCCAGTAGCAGAATCATTCATGGTCCTGGTAGGGTTTTAATTTTAAACATCTGCAGGAACGGAGGAGCTTTATTGACAGCACTCAAAAAAAAAACACAGCAGAAAACTAGATTCACCTCTTCCACCAACCAGTCAAGTTACAGGAAAAAAGGTCACAGTGTCTCCTTCTGTTCCCGAGTTACAGCGCTGAATAATGGCCAGAGGTCTTCTTCCAGAACGTTATGATGTCACACTGAAGTTGACCTTTGGATATAAAATGTCATCACTTCATCCTACTAGACATTTGTGTCATAACAGCATGGCCAAAAACATGTCTTGCGATTTGACAGTGACCTTGACCTTTGACCTTTGATCACCAACTTCTAATCAGTTCATCCTTGAGTCCAAATGAACGTTTGAGCTAAATTTGAAGAAATTCCCTCACGGCGTTCCCGAGATAACCCGTTAACAAGAAGGTGACGTACGTCCTCCGCCCACGGCTGTAAGCAGAGCCGAGGTATAAAAGAGCGAAGTGGAAATTATCCATGAATGAAAATTATTTCTGTTAAAGAGGGAAAATGAAAGCAGCAGAAAGACACGACTCGGCTCTCCTGATGGAATTATACCATAATTATACTGTCATTTTAAAGTAGATTACAGGTAATTTCAATAATACACCTTTGATGCACACAAGCGTAGAGACAGTAGCCCTCTCTTCACACGTTTGTCATTTTCTCACTGAATCTGTTGACAATACGACAAAAAATAAAGTATCACCAGATTTATTCAAGACATAAAGCTCAAAATGTACAACAGAGGGACAGAGAAGCTGATCCTACACTTCCCATAGTGCAACTCCATATATAATAACGAGCAAAATCCTTCCCTGTCCCAACAGTCCAGAGTCGGGCCAACCATCAGATACCAGCTTATGATAACAACCAATGGTGAACACACACCAGATCAGCACACACACACTGGTCTCCTACACGTTATATGTCTTCATGAAACCTGAAGAAACCAAAGCAAACGCAGCTCTTCAGCCCTTTGAGCATAAAACAGGACGAGGAGAACAGTGGGCCTCTTCAACCCATAACAGCACATTCACTTCTAACAACACACTCAGCATCATAAGAGAAACACATGAGTAAATAAGTGATCAACTAATGATTCTACCTCCAGATTCTGGTATTAAAAAAGATAATCAATCCATTTCATCTTTTGTTACTTTCACAGACTGGACCTGTGACTAGATTTCATTCAGTAGTAGCTCAGCTGAAGCCTTCCAGTGCAGAGAAACTACATCTCTAAATTAGCTTCTTAACACTCGATAAAACCGATACGATTTTTCTACAAGTCACCTTCTGCTGTTCTTCCCTGGTCTGTCAGTTCTGTACCAGTACAGTCTCTGATACTGGGTCCACATCTGAGCCCATGTTGCACCGAGGCTGCACACTTCTACACCCTGTCAGTCTGAATGAGAACGTCTAAACTTAATTACTTCAAACTGCGGTATGCAGTGTAATGAAGAGAGCCATCAAAGAGAAACTCCTGGGACAGCAGAGCGGACAGAAGCTAAGTTATGTTTCTAATTCTGCTTTCATGTAATATTGCTGCTTTGAGACTGTGTGCTGCAGGATGCCTGGGCTGTAGTTGCTGTGTGTGTGTGTGTGTGTGTGTGTGTGTGTGTGTGTGTGTGTGTGTGTGTGTGTGTGTGTGTGTGTACAGAACAGACACAGAGGCGTGCAGACAGTCGTACACGTAGCCAGAGCAGAGTCACTGTGTGGAAATGCTCGGCCTGCACCGTCAGCTTCAGACCAGCTACTGCAGCAGTAATCACAGCACTTAACATTCAAGGTGCACTGCACCCCTGTCGGCTGCATTTTATAAGTTCATCGCACAATCAGCTGGTAATTGGCAGAGCTAATGAAGGAAGAGTGAAACATAACTCAAGCGTCAGGGACCGTGCAGCTATAATGGTGAGGACAGGAAGTGACTGCAGTCCACTTTAAATCTTAAACTGTTATTTTGTGGTTATAAAGGAAAGAAAACATATCAGCAGGAATCTGTGCAAAGGCTGATTCTTAAGAAAATTAACCACATTAGCATTGGAGAGCTTTATTCCCTCTGTGATAACGACCTGGTGACTAATCACTCATCAGATTAACCAAATACAAACAGAGGCTGCTGCAGTCTGAAGAGATCAGATCAACACAGACGCACAGGTACACACATATCATTTTAAATGGAAACTTGCCAGTTTGGGTTTATATCATGGAGCAAAGCTCAGGCAAAAATCTCTATAATCTACAGGAGAAATGTCTTACAGCTGCACTTATCTATATTTTTACACTGTGAAAGTCAGTCACACCGATGAACCTCTAATCGCTCAAACTCTGCTCTCATCTACCTGGTTTCCAACAGCAACAGGCAGCTGTTTTCAATAGAAACAGCTCTGATAAAGACACTATCCACTACCTGCTCAGCAGCACACAGCAGTCACACAGTCAGAGAGCAGCTGGTGGACACAGTGCAGCATTTAGCAGCTAAAGAGACAGAGCTCAAAGACTTTGATCCATCAGGTTGTCAGATGGAGACATGATTCTACATAAATGATCACTGTGATCAACAGATCATGGTCCTGTGCACAGCTCAAGGTATTGGACATACAGAACTATAGGAATGCAATATGTAGATCTGAACTGATAAATGATCTGGATGTGTAAACATGCAGCAGTTCACACATTCACCATGACTGTGTAACATCATCATAAAGCTGGCATGTTAACATTGTGTTTACATCTTGTTGCGCTGCCCCCAAGTGGCCACAAAAATCAATTAATACAGCTCAGAAAAACATCACATCAGGCATCAGTGAAGATCAATAATAATCACTGTGAGACAGCAGCTAATAATTCTTCAGGTGTGTAAGTACTCGTCGGTCTTGGCTTCATGTTTGATCTCGTTTACTGAGCAGTGAAAAGTCAAGTTCACCCACAGCGATGTTTTTAAAGGCAGCGATTAACAAATTCTCATTATCAGATATTTATCAATTTTTTTTTGTGACTTATTTGTTTTGGTTTTTTTTAATTGATTGATTAATTGTTCCATACGATGTCAGAATTTTTATACAATGTCCATTCACAGGCTCCTGGAGCCCAAGGTGACATCTACTGTATACAAGCTTTATTTTGTCAGATTTTATTTTTACAGTTACATGAGAAAAGACCTCTCACTGGAGACGCTGCAACCAGGGAATTCTGGGGGTTTCTACTTGATAAATTACTAGAAATTAATCATCATTTTAATTGCTACCTATTTGTCAGCTGACTAATTGGTTAATAAACTAAGTGCCACAGAAATTATTACATATAATAGTCCAGGGATGAAGCAAAAAGCAGAACAGATTTGGCTTTTCTGACTGTTTAGTGCTTCACACACTGACTGACCATCCCTCTACCTGCAGGTCTAGTGGGTGAAGTTTGCTGATGAACTGTGCACTCACCAGCAGCGTGGGCAGCCCGGCGACCACGGCGTAGAGCAGGACGGGCGGGACGGCGCTGCTGTCCTCCGGTCCCAGGTAGGGTTTGGTGTAGGTGGTGTCGTAGCAGAAGAAGCCCTGCACGTGCACGCTGAAGGTGTCGGTGTACTCGAAGTAGTAGGCCAGCATGACGGTCCCGGCCATGATCACCAGCTGGAAGTACAGCATGATGCAGATGAAGAGCGAGAGACATGTAATTAGAACAAACCCTTTTCTATCTCTCTCTCTCTTCTACCCAGCCTCCTCCTCCTCCCCGGCGGTACCGACTCGAGCTGCCCGGCTCATGACGGCTCAGCTGCAAGCGAGGAGCCACTCTCTGATCACGGTGGAGGCTCGCTCGCCCTGGTTTGCTCTGCTCGCTGCTGCTGCAACTAGAGACTGTGTGCTCGAGTGTGTGTAGAGAGAGAGAGAGAGAGAGAGAGAGAGAGAGGGAAGGGGAGGGAGAGAGTGAGATAGAAAAAAACAGTGGGTGTGTGAGGGTGTGTGTGTGAGAGATGAGGAGGCTCGGCTAAATCCCCATCCCACGTCAGTGTGTGTGAGTGAGTGAGAGAGAGAGAGAGACAGATTAGATAGACATGTATACAAACAGGAGGATTGACAGCTCCCTCCATCTCCCCGTGTGTGTGTGTGTGTGTGTGTGTGTGTGTGTGTGTGTGTGTGTGTGTGTATAACCTGGCCATGGATCCAACACATGCACTGCTATGATCAACCAGTTCAGGACAGGAGAAAAGCAGAAGGAGCGAATGAATGGAGAAGAAATAAAGACTGAGAACAGCGATAGAGAGGCAGTGGGTGGATAGTGGGGGTGGGGATCTGGGGACCACTTGCAGAGGCTGAGGCTCTCGACTCTAAATTCAGCCAGTATTTCATCAGAGAAATTAGTTAATAAATAAAACTGAACGAGCAGAAGCTGCATGTTGTCAAATCCATCAGCTTGGATTAAAGCAAAGAAACTGACCAAAACATCTTATTGCTTGTAATCAGTGATGAAAGTTGCAGATACCACAATGCAAAAATATAAATTATGCATTATAACCACAGTAAAGGCTGAATTTCTCAGCATTAACTATTAAATATATTTATATTCACTAATTACCATCTGGTGTAGTAGTTTTCATCTCTACTGGCAAAGTCTGTCATTACTGCACAGGATTTAAATTCCATACATGCACACAAGGAATTCACATGAAAGGATGCATGACAGCACTCCTCCTCCATTACTGCTTCTTCCATCCCATTGATAGACGCCTTCTAATGATCATTCTGGATAGATGATAAGAGCTGTATTAAACAATGAATGCCCTTCCAACATAACGATGGTGGGGTTGGGTTCAAGTAGATCAAAACTTTGTGTAAATGTACTTAATTACTTTCCACCACTGCTAATACAATTACTGAGCCTTGGGCACACATGTATTTTACTCTTGTTCAATGATCCAATAGTTAAAACTCCTGTGTGACAACAAAGAGCGTCTATTATAGAAGTTAATATCACAAAGGTAACAGACTAAATAAACCACCACACACAACAAGAAATAATAAACTCTATATTGATGTCAAAACGTCTCTTTACAACAACTAATCCCCCATTGACTCACTACTCGTGACTGAACACCAATGTTTGCTAACATTAGCTCATATATGACATTTTATATTGGCAATGAAATGACAACACTGGGAATGAAAGGGCGCGCTAACAGCTAGCTAGCTTTAATGAGCTAAACCGTAATTTAAGGCTAAAGTTAGAAGCTAGCTAACATTAGCGTTCATCTGTAGATACGTAACAAACTGTAATTCAGAGACTCTGGAGGTGAGGACGTAAAGTGTATTAAACAAGCTACATAGTTAGCTACTGCTACTTACATTTACCTACAGTGTCTGTGCGACAAATGGGAGCAGAGACTTAACGACGCGACTAACCAACGGCCGTGAGGACGACACGTTCAAGCAAGGGAGAAATGGTACGGTCCACTTTAGGGGTGTCTGAAATCGTATCACAAGATTGTTCCAAGCATGAATGTGAGAAATATATTATAATATTTACAATTACAGGTAAGGGAGATATATAGATGTTTCAACCCTAGCTTCAAACTGGGGGGGGGGGGGGGGNNGGGGGGGGGGGGGGGGGGGGGGGGTCCAAGTCTTAATCAGGAGGGTCAGCTCCCCCCTAAATCCTCCCCATTATCCGAACCCTGTCAAAATGAACCTGGGGCTAATATTAAGTTTTCATCAGGAGATCTTCCAAAGATCTTATCTTTTTTGTTCTTCCCTTCACTTTGCTCCACTGCTGTCTTGTAAAGAAACACGCACAGATAATTATCTACTAAAAACACTGTAACTTTGGAAGATACCAACTTTATTTGTTTACCTCAGACAGCTGAAGCCTCATATTAGATTCAGATGAAGTCTGAGATATATTTTTACACAGAAACAGGACTGCGGATTTCCTCCTTCATCTCGGAGTGGATAGTGCAGTGGTTCCCAACCTGTGGGCCGGTGCCCACTGGTGCACCGTGAAGGTATTTCAAGTGGACCAACAAATCATTTGCAAAACAGTAAAATCTTGGTGAAAAGATGTAATTATAAAATAAATAAAAATAATGTTCTTAAAAGTTTTCTCATATGAAAGCCTATCACTTTGATGAACCAATGAGAGGAACTTTTGGACCACATCACTTCTATCTCAGTCTGATTACATGCCTAAAGATCACGTGCATGGCAAATGGTTGAGAATCAAACTGGATATCTGGTTAACAACAGGAAGAGTTATAATGAAAGAGAGTCAAGATTATCATAAAAACAAAAAGTGGTCTGAAAACACATTACTGGGCCTCCGTATTGTTATGGGGTTGATCGGATGCGGGGCACCAACATTTCAACAACATTCGAGTGGGCCATGAGTTGGTAAAGGTTGGGAACCTCTACGACAGTGCATTATGAATGGAACAGCAGCAAGTAAACCATGCTTCACCACACATATCCACATCTGAGTATTGTTTCTTGAAACAATGTGAAGTTATTTGTAATGAAAACCAAACATATCCTGCAGCTTCAGCGTCATATTAAAAGGCATTCAGTCGGTGGTGGTATTGTTCACCATTCTGGATGAACACAAACTGCTCTCACTGTGTTGAACAGAGATCTAATTGCAGGTGCAGAAAATGTGTTTCCCCCTGAGAGATAAAGCTCTGTGTAAAATGAGAATACCTGCTCTATTTTAGGCAATATTTTGCTGAATACCTGACAACATCTTACTTCAGCATGAAATCTCTACATTGGAGGTGTCAACTACCACCTCCAATGTATTCTCTCATTATTAATATTACAGTATTATTTTAAAAGTCATTCTGAATGCCAGCAAAAGGCCAACATACTGTACATGTGTATGTCTGTGTGTCTTCCCCTCTAATATCAGGTGTTGTGTATAATGGAGAGTGTCATGGACCATAAAACAGATCGTTATCGAAGCACCCTGCAAGGAAGCTAGAATATAATCCTTCCCTCATTCAATATCACACACCCTCAATTTAATGTTCTTTGTTTTTCTGTTGCACTTTTAAAAGGTAGTTTTTCATTTCACTGTGTTCTCCTGCTGTGTTCACTCCATAATCCTGTCATAACTCTTCGCACATTTGTTCTTCCTGACATGCTGGAACGGTTCTGCTATGTTCAATAACCCCCACTGGCTCTGCAGTTATTTATATTTTATTTATTTATTTATTTATTTTTTGTTCTGTTGCTGCGGCGACCCCATTTTCCCCAAATGGCTCATTGAAGCCTCATCTTATTTCATACTCCACACCCACTCTCTCTGTCTCTTTCTCCAACGCAGGAAACACATTTATCTGCTCTGCTGTTCAAATCCATAAGTGAAGGCTGTCAGAGCAGACAGAGAGACAGATGGAGACGGACAGACGGACAGAGATGGAGATGCAGATGGAGATGCAGAGGGCGTGTGGAGTCAGGTGGGGACACACTGACAGCTCTGAGTAATGGCTGCCATTACTGTGTCACTCCATCATCACTCCCCATTGTAATACTAACTAGGCCGAACCTATATGCTTCTATATGCTGAGACAGGCCAGAGAGATGTCTAATGATACACATCATCAGAAAGTGACTCTGTACAAAATGCATACATAAAGAATCCACTGTCATTAGAGTGACTGCTGTGTAATGGACTTCACGACCTTATGGTGATATAACTGAGAAAAATACATTTAACAGGATAAAGAGTTTGCAGTCACGCTAGCAGCTCTGTGAGCCCCAGCATGATAACGTATATATACTGTATATATACTGTATATATATATATACACATTATCAGGAAGTCACATTGAGATCAAGATCTCATTTACAAGTGAGACCTGAGAACAGAAAAATAAAAATAAAAATATTAATAGCAGAAATACAAATTTTCAGCAATTTAAATCCATTCAGACATGTATTCATACAAACAAGTGGACGTGTAATTATATAAACAGCGATCAGAGTGTGTATTTAAATGCTTTTAAATATGCATTAAGATGCACCATCAGGGTTAAGGCTGCATGTTCTGCTCCTTTTAATATGGACATGTGCTGTGCTGTATATATATATATATATATATATATATATGTTGCACTGTAAATATTGTACATTTTGGTAATGTAATGCTACACTGATGCACCCATTGCACACTATACGAATATGCACTCTGTCCATTTGTTGAAAATCTAATAAAAAAAGATCTTTGAGAAAAGATTCACAACAAGATGATGACCTCAACACTCAGAACTGCAAGTTAGAAAAGAGACTAAAACAATTACAACCCGAGTCATTCAGACTTCTAATCAAACAGTCACAAAGTAAATAGGCTAATGTAAGGCAGGAACAATGTTTACCATGGTCACCATCACAGACGCTAACATTTGCTAGTTAGTGGTGAAAACAAAACAGGCCCACAGCAGAGGATCATGGGAATGTCATTAGTTTTTAAAACTGAAGGATTGGACACGTTAAGATTTGACACTGAAGTTCAGTGAACTCACTGTCATGTTGATGAAACCAGTTAGAGACATGAAGCATGAACCTGCAGGATGGAGCCATTAGAAGATGGTGAACTGTGGCCATGAAGGGAAGCAGGTGTACAGGTGATCAAAATCACAAAGTGATCAGTGATTGAATATTATGCTGCATATGAGATGAACCTGATAAATTCACATATGCT